CCTGAGAATTATTAAAGTGTGTGGCTGGTATCGCTGCGGAATGGTTAATGTTTTTTGGTATGACCGGCATGTTGGTCTTCCATAGCAACAGCGTCCTATGTTCATCTCACTATTGATTCTGCCTAAATGATTATAGCATAGAGAGTTTTGTCTTCATTTTAGATATAATATCTTATGATATTTCATCTGATATTCCATTTACATGTCTAAGCGTTCGATGATGAAGGAGAAAAATATTTTAGTAACAGGTGTTATTAAAAGGATTAAACTCATTCTCCATTTTTTAAATTTCAAATTCTGGGAGAAATATAGCAATGGGTATATTCCCGGAAAGCTCAGGATCATTTCCAAAGCGACATAAGACGTATAAGGAAAAGGTTCCAGCGATGTCGGCTTTGCTTGCGTCAAGCAGAGGCGAGACGAGAACCGACGCTTCTCTGCAAGGTGGCAGGTCGCTGGGTTAAAGCTAATGTAGCTTGAGTGCAAAGTTTCACGTGCATATTTGTTTGTAACAAAGAAGTTAGGAATTTTTCGACTGATAGATGTTGATATGCAAAATAAGACACTATTCCGAAGCTTTATTCATAGTCTTCCCAAACTTGATGTTTACCATAAAAGAATAATGCCATCACATCTTTCAACACAAACCGTCCTACATTGCTTTCTAAAACCTACACAACAACCTACCCTTCTTCATTCACTATTTTACACAATATCCTTCTTTTCCGACCCTAACCGAAACCCTCAGAATTTTCCCTCCGAAATCGAATAACCTCTAACCCCGCGCCCCCTGCATAGCGAAGCCGACAGGACGCCATTTGTTGTTTGCAAAAAGGAGCCCCAGAGAACCCACAACTCGGACGTTAGTACAGCCCGAATTACAGCCCGTTCCCCCTTGCAAATACCTCCCCGAGCTCCCCCGTGGCCCCAGGACGAGCCCAGACCCCCGGAATAACGCGCATTTCTCTCCCACAGGTGAGGAGGAGGGTTTAAATAGGCCTCCGCGCTCCAACATGGCGGATGTGGACATTGATCTCTACGGAGACGTGGAACAAGACTTCACTCAGGTCAGATAATTACGCTAACCGAGCCCTCTTTCTGGCCTTCTGTTTTCAGATTTTGTTTCTTGGATTATTCTTCCTGTTGTGTCTTGTGTTTCGATTCAAGGGGCGGGTTTTTTATAAGTATTTAGGGTTCGTGTGATTAAAGATTCAGTGACTATGTAGCGGTAGTTTTTTTTTTTTCTGTTAGATTGGTATATTAGGTGTATTTTTTTTTTTTTAATCAGTTGTGTGATAAGAAATCGATTAATTTTTATTATTTAGGCTGAAAGATTTCCGCATTTAGCCAGGATGTCAGGATAGTCGTTAGCCTATAATTATATACCACAGCAATAGGAAACGCTATGCATGATAAAAGAAATTAAAATTCAACCAGATGTTCTACTGTGCCGTTTCTGGTGAGACGAAGTGAATTCCACTTTAGGGCGGAATTAGGTCGCGCTTTTGGCCGGGAGGATGGGAAAGGGCACGAGGTCTGGAAGGATAATTGCGTGATTAGTGAATTCGGAAGCAAATTCTGTGTTAAAATCGCTTTGATTGATGTTCCGAATGTGATGATAAATTACGAGCGAGGTTGCTAAGCTTGCATCTTGCTAGAGTTAGAGTGACAAGGTTTTTGGCTTATGACGGACGGTCAAAGGTGTTGATTGCGGTCATTGTGGGTGTATCTTTGGCAAGCGAATGTGGGTTTTTGACTTTCTGCAAATTGTCATATTTATTTGATAGTGTAAATTTAGATTTTTGAGTACATTACTCAAATTTTTGTGTTTTGGTGCAATCTGTTATAATTAGATATAGTTAGAGAATGAAAGCTAGAGGATTGGGAAAAGTTAAGGATATTAAGGGAAAACAACACTCGCCTGTATGTGAAATAGTCTACACAGGCCAAGAATAATGTTAGAAGAAAATAGATGTCAATAAATGCCGTGTGTAGACAGTTGGGTAAGGGTGTGGGGGGGTAGAGCCCCTGGAGAGGGGTATGCGGCAGGAGGGTGGGCGTCAGGTCTGTTTCTCGTACATATGGCAGAGTTTGTCGAGTCCCAAGAGTGCCTGTAATATTGTTGGCAAGAGTAATAGGAATTTAGTCTCTGAGGGGTGTGGTCACTTTGTAAAAAGTTAGCTTCCAAGTTTTTTGGAATTGTAGTTAACCCATCGGACAAATGACTGTCGTATGGCATCACTGCGGAAACCTGGATTTTCTCATGGCAGTGTACTAAGTGCTAGGTCAATCTTGGGGGACCTCCTACCTGAAGCTGGAATAGATTTTCAGGTATTGTTGGTCTTGCAAAATCAAAGACCAGCAGAACCCAGATATTTGTGAACTATGAAGCATATACTGATAATAGGCCAGAATTCTGATATTGTTTTTGGACTTCATCAGCTTTTCATTAACTATAAGAAAATATTCATTATAACTATTCAGAACATACTAAGGTGGATAATGGTAGATGTTCAGATTAGGTCTGCACAAGTATAAAAATCTTTTAAAGTTTTTAACATAATATGTTGAAAGTTATGACTACAGTTGTTTCTCAAAGCCATTAAAACTCTACTCTAGGATATATGTCCTACAATAGCAAGATTAGAGCTTGTTGACTGCATGAAGAATTTATCATCACCTCAGGAACCATTCCAAGCTCTCTATGTATGTATATATATATAAATATATATATATATATATATATATATATATATATATATATATATATATATATTATATATATGGCCTTTGCCGAAATGGGAATCTCAGAAGTCATGACATCACTTCATTGTCTTCCTCAAAACATTTACCATCATAAGTAAAGGCCTCATGGCAGACAGTGGGATGGCCTTCCTTAAAGGGGTTTGCATGGGTTAGAATTCCCTTGTCAATATGTATTTATATCATAATATGGTTGACAATTAAGTTTGCTCTTAATCTGGAAAAAGTTCCCGTAAATATTTACAAGACCCAAGTGCTGGCCACTAGCCTCCTGCTGATAAGCACTCCCCTGGCTCTGGTCAGTGCTCGAACAAGCTTGTGCCATACATATTTTGCAAAGAAAGTCTTTCTAGACCTCTGGCAATTTAATTTAACCCCTTGGACCCAGATGACGTTGTGGTCACATCAAGGAAAAACTTTGGCAGCTGCCTGGGTGACGTGAACAAACCGTCAGAGAGAAATCCAAGGTTACGGAAAAGACTCGCCATGAGTACACAAACCTCTTGAAGTGTGATTTGACTCATTTGGTGCTTAGAAGGGGGCTTTAGCATTATTCCCATTGATAAATGAATGTGGAATGTAACGTGCGTAAGCAGTGACTGAAAGAGCGCTGGCTCCAGGGATAACGCCATTTCCATACTGCACACCGTATTCCTGGCCTCTGTGACCGTCGGCGCAGGTTCTATTATGTAAAAAAAAATAGATAGATAGATAGATAGATAGATAGATAGATAGATAGATAGATAGATAGATAGATAGATAGATAGATAGATAGATAGATAGATAGATATGACAATTAACCAAATGTTCCATACATTGTGCCAGGAAAATAAGTAATTACCATCTGGATAAAGCAAATCAAAGACAAATATAGGCATTGGAAAATGATGATAAAGCTAACAAAATTTACATTACACTTTTCAAAGGGGGGGGGCACAGAGTCTTGTCACCACTCATAGGTGTTCGTGCGCACCTGGGATGCTGGCCATTTACGTAACCCATTGCCTGGGGTTTTCAGCTCCGTGATTTCTGTCATGCAACCGGATCCAAGGGGTTAAATATGCGACCAGTCCGGATTCTGTTTTGACAGAATGTGTGGCAGAGGTTTGTTAACCTTTTCTTTGAGTGCTGGGAGCATGTAACCCACAACTTGATTGAGCCCATGCCAAAGTGTCAATAAGTTTTACCCTAAGATTTTAGGCCATTTATGGATAAGATACATGCCATATGATTATGAAGAATTTCAATTTGTTGAGTAGTGCAAGTTCCAGGAAGACATTCTTTTTTTATATACATTTTTATTTCTTATTTTACCCTGCAGTTTTAGTGTTTTCATAGGTGTACTCCCACCAGTTTCACTGCTAAACCAGTCATTACCAGTATTGCTAATATCAGCAGCATAGAGGATCTGGTGGATTTACAGACAATTCTTGTTAGTATAACATATGGTCTTTGGATAAATGTTGTGTATAGTTAACCTGTTGATGCTGGCATATATATACATGGCCTGCCCAGTTTTTTTTTTTTTTTTTTTTTTTTTTTTTCTTGAAAACATGTTTTTTATTACTTTCATAATAGTTGATTATGTCACTTGGATAATAATGATAATATTAATATCAATGTCAAAATGTTATTAACCCTCAAGAAAGTGTGGATAGGAAATTTTGGAGGAGGAAAAGATCTAGGTTACCCAGATTAAATATACCATATGGCACCAGAACTAATTGTGATTCTTAATATAGAGGTAGGAATATATAATTTTCATTGGCTCAGGCAGGAAGTGGCTTACATAGGGAGTGCGAGATGCAGGTGAATTTGTGGGTGCCACTGAAGGAAACTTCCCAAACGGCACCAGATATGTCAGAGGATAATGAAAAAGTAGTATGAAAAGATCCTATAACTAATTTACAGGCCTGCTGCAATTGTGGAGAATAGGATTTTTTTTCACATTCGATGAATAGCTGATGTTTGGGGGTTGATAAAACTTTAAACCTTTCTTTTCTTCCAGAATATTCTAGGAATGGGGAAAACAGAAAAGGTCAGGTAGGCCTAAGAATAGACTCCTTAGTGACAAAGTGTTAGTGAAGCCATCTAAGTGTAAACAAAATATATAAAACACAAATGCAGTGTGCAGTTACTGTAGCCAACATCACTGGTTGTGAATAGCAAACTTCTACATTTGGATTGAAAATTTGCTGTTGCTATATATTTTTCAGTTTTTGTTTGGTCTTATTTCAGTTTCAGACATGACTGAATAACAGGAATTCATTGCGACCATTAGAATCTTTTGCAGTTGTTAGGAATATCTCTGCCATACAAGTCTTAATCCATTGGCACCAGATAACTTTCCAAACAGTACTAGATACTGTAGATGACACCATATATCTATGCATGACAGGTACACACACTGTCCACTCTCGTTTTGTCAATTTTGCTTAAACATAGATGGCTTCGCAAACATTTAGACACCAAGGAGTCAATTAATGGGCATATTTAACCTCACCAGTTTAGCCCCATCCTTAAAAAGAAAAAAGTAGTAGTTATTTTTAAAACTATTATTTTTTTATTACTATCATTATTCACAATATTATGTTCCTAACAGCATCAAAAGTAGGAAAATCAGTTTTCTCCTGAGATTTAAGGAATAGGGTAAACCGATGAGATCAGGTAGGCCTAGTTATTGACTCTTTAGTTACTGAAATTCATATTAACCATTTGTAACCATCACTAGGCATTTGATATAGAAAATTCCAGAAATTGATTGAACACTTTATAACAGTGGGAAACAGTTTTAGCTTTGAAATTATGTTGGGATCCTAATATTTACGATTTGATGTATATATGTAGATGGTTTAAGGGCAGAGGTATAGTAATAAAAAAATATTTACTATATAATTAAAAGCTTATACTGTAGCTCATTATTTTTAGGTAGAGTGGGGGTTTAGTCATAGGACAGCACTCATAGGTAGAATTTGGTAGAATTTGGAAGATATATGAACTTCTTTATATGTTTTATGTAGACATACATGCATAAGAAATGTATGTATATTTCCTATGTATATATATATATACACACTTTTCTTTTTATATAGGACTTTAGTTTTATCTAATTCAATTTTTAGGGCAACATCCCTAATACTTTATTTGCCTTTACAGTTAAGGGAAGATGCATGATTCTGTAGTTTCCTGGTACATACTTTTCAGTTACAGTATGAAAGATATTTTTTGATATGTTATGGTGATGATGTCGGTAGGGGTCTTGCTATAAGTGTGTCTCATGAACCCTCAGTAATCATTAAGATAAACAGGGTGGGATGGCATCATACTAGGAAGTACACTTACCAGATGGTTTAGGGTATGCATTTCTTTAACGTATAGGAGTCTTGAGTTGGCATTCTCTTCGTTCTGTTGTAATACGTTCCAGAATATTATATCTTGGACTTTTTTTTGAAAGGAGATGGCTCTATAATTTTTTATATACTTACATACTTTTATATTTATTTATATATTTATGATATATAATTTATATATTTATAAGGTTGACACATGGATTAGAAATATAGTGTAGGTATAGGTTGTACTTGGCTCTTTTGATACCCTCCCTGTTGCTTATTGGATTGCCAAGTGACTGTTATCAAAACATAATTTATTAGGCGGGTACAAACTGCTGGATTGTAATTCCTCATCACTTATCCTGTATCCCCTTGAATTGATTTTATTAGGTACTGTACTGTGGGAAAGGTTCTAGGTCATGGGCTATTGATCACTGAACCAAATAAAGTCATGGGTGACTTCAAAGGAATCAGAGTTGGATTATATAAGGGGTTCATATAATTTAGTCATTTACAAGTAAGAGGTGGCTTGGATATTGAGGAGGCTCAAGGAAGCGACATTAGAGTAAGTGTCTTTTCCCCTTGTGTGAAATTTTTACAAAGATTCTTTTTCATCATGATATGAATATTTATTTGATATCGTTTTTGAATTCATAAAAAAGGAATTTGAAAGACAGACATACTTGTTGAGATATGCATAGGAATATATATATATATAACTATTTATATTATGTATGTATGTTCTATAGGAATAGGAATTTCCATACAATTTTGGATATTAGATGATGTAGACAACGTATGACTTTCTTTAATCACTCTCTTTGACACCTTTGATGATCCTTACATTTTTAGTAGTAGCTTGATCAAAGGTAACTTAGCTGTTTTGCACCAAAGATAGGATTCTCTTATTTTTTGTATTTAGTGAGAGAGGAGGGTGTTGCAATTGACTTAAGAGAATGGTGGGAAAATGCATAAAAAGTGCATTTTGCTTTGAGTGTAGGGTGTGATATGAATACCAATATTGCACAAAATCAGAAGAGGGCACTTTGCAGATAGTTCAGAATGTTTGCCTGTGTAGCTGTTGTAAATAGCAAGACATACATACAGACTGTTACACATTCACTTACACACATTTGTGTGTCTTGATTTTTTTTTAATGAATTTTTATATTGTTTGTAAATTTGTTTGGTAGGCAAACAGTTATATTTTCCTTGCTAAGTTAGAGGTCTTTTCCAATGTTACTGAACCTTTTTCATTCTTATTGAACCTTTCAGCATCTGCATTCGTCATAGAAGGAGAATAACTGGTTAATTGGCAGAAGGAGTAGGCAGTATAAAGATCATCTAACGCATCTTTTATGCAAAGACTTCAAAAGGAATATGAAAGTTGACATGCTGATGTAGATGCAGGATAGCACAGTGCATTGATGGCTTCTTACTGACATATCTGGTTATCTCTTTGTTTTTTATTTTTATGTAATTGTTTTAATAGCCAGATTGTTTAAATAGGAAAATGGTAGATTGGAAAAGGAGGAGGACATTAATTTCAGCCGAGACTACTAACTACATTTCCTCAAGAAGAGTCCTGCTCTTTATTTGTATATATTTTGAAGTTTACCAGATTACTCATATTTTGCTTTGGGTATTGTTGCTTTTCATTCTACAGATCTTTTTTATTCATTTTTATATATACTTACTGTTTGGTGAAATGGAGTCTTTATTATTATTTTTCATAGATTCTGGTAAGACTGAAAGTTTGTGTATGTTTGTCTGTGTGTTTGTGCATGTGCGTGTGTGTGTGGGTATTTGTGTGCTTGTGCTGTGCGTGCATGTGCCTGTGTCTGTATGTGTGTCTGTGGTGCTTCTGTAATTGCGCGTGTGTGTCAGTGTGATTGAGTATGTGTCAATGTGAGTTTGTGCATGTCAGTGTGTGTGCGCGTCAGTGTGAGTTTGTGGTCAGTGTCGCGTCAGTGTGAGTGTGAGTGTGCGTGTCAGTGTGAGTGTGAGTTTGTGCGTGTCAGTGTCGTGTCAGTGTGAGTGTGAGTTTGTGCGTCAGTGTGAGTCGTGTCAGTGTGAGTGTGAGTTTGTGTGTTGTGTGTGAAGTGTGAGTGTGAGTTGTGAGTGTGCGTGTCAGTCGTGTCAGTGTGAGTGTGAGTCGTGTCAGTGTGAGTGTGAGTTTGTGCGTGTCAGTGTGAGTGTGCGTGTCAGTGTGAGTGTGAGTAGTGTGAGTGTGAGTTGTGAGTGTGAGTGTGAGTTTGTGCGTGTCAGTGTGAGTGTGAGTTTGTGCGTGTCAGTGTGAGTGTGAGTTTGTGCGTGTCAGTGTGAGTGTGAGTTTGTGCGTGTCAGTGTGAGTGTGAGTTTGTGAGTCGTGTCAGTGTGAGTGTGAGTTTGTGAGTCAGTGTGAGTGTGAGTTTGCGTGTCGTGTCAGTGTGAGTGAGTTTGTGCGTGTCAGTGTGAGTGTGAGTGTGCGTGTCAGTGTGAGTGTGAGTTTGTGCGTGTCAGTGTGAGTGTGAGTTTGTGCGTGTCAGTGTGTGAGTGTGCGTGTCAGTGTGAGTGTGCGTGTCAGTGTGAGTGTGAGTTTGTGCAGTGTGAGTGTGAGTGTGCGTGTCAGTGTGTGTGAGTTTGTGCGTGTCAGTGTGAGTGTGAGTGTGAGTGTGAGTTTGTGCGTGTCAGTGAGTGTGAGTTTGTGCGTGTCAGTGTGAGTGTGCGTGTCAGTGTGAGTGTGAGTTTGTGCGTGTCAGTGTGAGTGTGAGTTTGTGAGTGTGAGTGTGAGTGTGCGTGTCAGTGTGAGTGTGAAGTGTGAGTGTGAGTTTGTGCGTGTCAGTGTGAGTGTGAGTGTGTGTGTGCGTGTCAGTGTGAGTGTGAGTTTGTGCGTGTCAGTGTGAGTGTCGTGTCAGTGTGAGTGTGAGTTTGTGCGTGTCAGTGTGTGCGTGTGTGCGTCAGTGTGAGTCTGTGCAGTGCGTATCAGTGAGAGTGTGTGCGTGCGTATCAGTGAGTGTGAGTGTCAGTGAGAGTGTGTGCGTGCGTGTCAGTGTGTGTGCGTGCGTGTCAGTGAGAGTGTGTGCGTGCGTGTCAGTGAGAGTGTGCGTGCGTGTCAGTGAGAGAGTGTGCGTGCGTGTCAGTGAGTGAGTGTGTGCGTGCGTGCGTGCGTGTCAGTGAGAGTGTGTGCGTGCGTGTCGTGCGTGCGTGTCAGTGAGAGTGTGTGCGTGTGTCAGCGTGTGTCAGTGTGACGTGAGTGTGAATGTGAGCGTGCGTGTCAGTGTGAATGTGAGCAGTCGTGCAGTGAGTGTGAGCGTGCGTGTCAGTGTGAGTGTGAGCGTGCGTGTCAGTGTAAGTGTGAGTGTGCGTGTTTGTGAGAGAGAATGATTTGCTTTTCAAACAAACCTTGCATATTTTATGATAGGCTTATTAGATGGGCAGTTAGGGGGGAAGTAGTCTTGTCCGTACAAATCTTTGGCAGTAATTTTGCTCAGATGAGACTACTGTACCGAAGTGGCTCCTATTTGCACAGATGGCCCAGAATCTCGGTACTTCTTCAAATGCACGATCTTATTATGATCACCAGGTTTTATTATATTATCATGATATTTGAGTCAGAAAGGAGTGATTGGACATGCAAGTTTTATGCTGTAGATAACCAAAATTTATGCTTCCTTTTACAGTGTTTATTTTGCAGAAAATGTCTTAATTTTTGTGATTTTTTTTTTTTTTTCATTTATAATAATTGACAATTTGCTTTCATTAATCAAAGAAGCTTAGATTGCTTTCCTTTTCAACTGTCCAACCAAATAGCTGCTCCTATGTTGGTTTCAAGTACATCAATAGTTTTTTTGTGGTGATTATGACTCAGAACATTGCAGTATGTCCACTGATCCATGATAATGTCTTTTAAGGTTTAAAAAAACACCAACCTGAGTTGTTAAATGAAGTACCAATTGAGACGTTCAGGGGTATGACACAACAGTTTATGGTGACCTTCAGATTGACAGTTTCGGTGTTGTTCATTCCAGGATCGTGAAATGAGCTGGTATGAACCGAACTCCTGCGAAGTTTAGCCCTGCACCCTCCACCATTCTGCATATTATATTATGTCTGAAACTCGATCCTTCTGATATGTCTGCCAGATGTTTGATATTGCCATCCTTGCTGGTTCTTTTTTCTTAGTTAGCTAGGTGTAATAACATACGAAATGGTGTTGAGCTGTTTCGCTTTGTAGTTTCTCGTCATTACAGTTTACATCAAACGTTTTGATAAAAATAAAGATTGATGAATGACAGTAATATTATGCAGAGGAAATTTGTTAGTAATAAAGATGATCATATTTGTCTGATGATAATGTTTACATGTGTTGTTTTTTTTTCTAATAATTTATTAAAAATAATTTTTATGAATAGATTTGTAAAACGTACCAATAAGCTATTGAAGACTGAATGCCCATTTCACTCCATATTTACCTTTAATTCCCACGTTGGTGTTTATGTATCTCCAATTACCGAGTAGTGATACTGAGTATACTCTACTCGAAAAGTTGACACTTCTTTCACTAGGTGGTAGAGGAAACGTTTTCTGCTCTTGACTTGTATATTTCTTTCGTGGGATCACACTCGACTTTCACAGGCAAGCTTGTTCAAATCAGGCGGTGAACCTGTGAACCGCTGTTTCTGATGAGTGGATGAGCTTGTTGGCCTAACAGTGTGGTTCACGATAAGAGTCATATAGAAGTTTAGGGAGTGTTGTGTGTTTCATTTAAGTGTAGCAAAATATTTTGATTTATAATTTGGTAATAGGATTTTGTCCTAGAATACTTTTAGTTTATTATTAATCTAATCTGAGGTGATTATTTATATAAATTCAGCTTTTTCTTTTTTTTTTTTTCTTTTTTTTTGCTTATTGTTGTATGTCTTGCTAACTATTATGATGGAAGTACAATTATAGATCATTATTAACTGATTTAGGCATATTTTTCTGTCGTAATTATTTCTAAATTGTTTCTTGCAATTGTAAGATTGTAATAACTAATGGAGATAGAAGTAGGGTAGAGATGAACATCTTAATTGTCTCTAGGATTTCGCTAGTCATGATTAATCTCTTTTTATCATAGATTTTATATATTTATATATATTATATGATATATATATATTTTATTTAGTTGTTATTTATGAATTGTGGGTAAAGCAATAATTATATGGAGAGGCTTGACAAAGTTTATACCTATGTTTGTTTTAAGGAAGTCTTTCCAAGAGTGCAATCTCCTCTATGTTTCTTTGTTGACCCACATTTTGATATGGAGTTAATTGTCACTCTCCATTTGGAGTCTTTTTTTTATATATATACTGAAATAATGTACACATTTTATCAGAATTTGTTTTCTTTTATAAGTCCGCAAGGTATGGGACATCAATATAAAAATATAAACTTATATGCGAATATTCTTAAAGATCTAGAGAAGATAACGCTTAAGTCATGACATGACCAGCAAGGATGAGGCACTAGTTTTGTACAAAGGAAGGCATGTTAACAAACAAACAAACAAACAAAAAAAATACCAAATTGTTGTAGAAGTGCAGATTTGCTCATGCTTTTTTATGGCGCTGTTCCTTTTTTTTCTTTTTTTACTGATTATAATACATGATGCTGTGTGTTGTACTGATGCAGTCTTCGACGACCTTATACAGCTCATCACTCAGAGATGCTGGTCTACCTTCCCAGGCCCAGTGGACTAAATGAATGATGGCAGTCTGTTCTTGTTCTCAGTGTGTAGATTTTTGTAGAGCAAGTGATAGTAATGTAGACTGGTTTTATAATGTGCACAGTTGACATTCCCAAAGCTCGCTGTGGGACTGGGAACCTAGAGAGGCATTTCTGTGTATTGAAGCAAATTATAACACATGGTTTGGTATTACTTAATTTTATGATATTTAAACATTAGAGTAGATGATGGATGGGATCTATAATTTTAAGGTTTTTCTAATGCTGAGTGATGATAGTCATTTATTTGGTCATTCGTTGATGCAGAATGTTTTCTTTATTTTCTTTTCTTTTGGTTTGAATTTTTTTTTCATAAATGAATTACAGTTTATTTCTTAATTTGAGCACATTTTGCTCCCCTGAGTCTTTTCTTATAAGTGTGTGTTGCTGCAGTATGTAGATATCGTGGCTGAATATCAATAAAGAAAAAAGAATTCTCTAAAATTCCAGGCTAATTGTTATTCTTTGCAGGAATGGCAAGACAGCTGATTATATTTGATTGTTCTCCATGTTCTCATTTCCGTATGGTGTACAATTTTTCATGTGGAATTTATTCACTTCTGATGTGTTTTAGTGCTGAATCAAGTGTTGTTTACTAGCTTTGCAAATTATGTAAGTCAGGAGAGGCATAACAGAAGTGATTAAATTCTTTGAATTT